ACACACACACACACACACACACACACACACACACCAGAAGCTCTACTTGCCAATAATTTACACCTCATTAATCTTTCTTTCCTCTTCTTCTCACACATAATTTTTCCTGCAGGGACTCGTCCTCTTCTTCTCCTGCTTCTTCTCGTCTTTGTTTCTTCTCCTCTTCATCCTCCAGCTGCTGACGTCAGTGGAACATCTCAATCTCCTCTGATATTCAGGTTAATCTAATTATGAAGATTCCCTCTGATACGCTTCATCGTCAATGACGGCCAAGATGGAGACACCTTTCTACCACGACGACTCTCCCGCTGTCTCCGGCTACAGCCACATCGCTGAGTACGAGCGTTACCCAGGAAACAAGATGCTGATGAGTAAGAAGGCCATGTCAGTGGTGGGCAGTCATCACTTCCCTGGTGGTGGCGCCGCAGGAGGGAGGGGCGGGAACCCCAGCAACTTGGGGCTTGGCGGGAACAGCTCCCTGATGTCGTCTGCTGCTTCGGCAGCGTCTCCGGGGGACATGAACCTACTGAAGCTGGCGTCGCCCGATCTGGAGCACCTGATCATTCAGACCAATCAGGGACTGGTCACAACCAGCCCTGTGTCCAACTCCACCAACCCCTTCATTTACCGCAACCAGGCCACCAACGAGCAAGAAGGATTCGCCGATGGCTTCGTCAAAGCACTGGCTGACCTTCACAAGCAGAACCAGCTGGTCGGAGGCGGCCCCATGTCCCCGTCCTCGTCCTGCTCTGTTTCCCTGCAGGCATCCTACCAGAGGAACCTGATGTCCACCGCTGACCTGCCCGTTTACACCAACCTCAGCAGCTACAACCAGGGCCAGATGCCTTATTCTGGAGGCCAGATAGCGTACTGTGGCGGGTCAGGACACGGTGGACCACCTCAGCCTCACACCCGAGGCATGGATGCCCCTCAGACAGTCCCTGAGGTGCCTCACCCATCAGGTGACCCCATGTCCCCTCCATCCCTCTCCCCGATTGACCTAGAGACGCAGGAGCGAATCAAAGCTGAACGCAAGAAGCTCCGCAACCGCATCGCTGCGTCTAAGTGCCGCAAGAGAAAGCTGGAGCGGATATCGCGGCTGGAGGAGAAGGTGAAGGTCCTGAAGACCCAGAACTCAGACCTGGCCTCCACCGCCTCCATGTTGAGGGAGCAGGTCACTCAGCTCAAACAGAAGGTCATGAGTCACATCACCAATGGCTGCCAGATCACTGTCGGCTCCGCTGCCGCCACCAGGTCTGGAGGTGGAGGAGGAGGGACGGGCAGCGAGGACTCCAGCTGCTGAGGAAGACGGACACAGGGGGAATTAAGTTTCACTCGTGCTCTTGGTCAGAGCGAGCAGACAGCGAGCAGCTCGGCGTCACCGGACAAGAGGACGTTTGAGGGATTTATGCTGCCTGACGGTCCCGCTAAAAGCACTGTCAATCATGGAGCCAGAGGAGGCAGAGCTTGGATAAGGGAGGAGACAGGAGGCGGGACAAACGCCTGACACGAGAGAAGTTTGGACTTTACTCAGAAAAGACAGAAACAAAAGACAAATGAAAACAGATTGAATTTAAAGAGACTGTTTAACAGCAGAGTGTGTGTGTCTGAGTGTGTGTGTGTTCAAATGTCACTGAATCACTGAATTCTCATGAAACATATTCAATAGAACTGAAGTGATGTCCTCAGTGTGGATGTGAAGTAATCAGATTACTTCTAACGACAGAGCGAGGCAGGTACGTTAATCACAAAAGTTTTTTTCCAGATTTTTCGTCTCACTTCAATCGGCCAAGGTTTAGTTGGTTTTTGTAATCTGATTACTTCTTTTCACTATAATGTCATTGTGTCGGTAAATAAACCAGTGGTGCAAACATGCAAAAGTACATTTCTCTGTTTTCATTTTGAATTTGAACAAATCCAAATTTGACACCAGATCAGTCAAAGCAATTTAGGATTTTTTACTTGACGTTTATGACGTCTCTATTTTTGTACAAATGTAAAAAAGTTGTCGATGTTAATAAGATGAAATGTGTGTGAACGATCTGATTTGATCAAATTCTTTGTGTCTAGTTCTCATGAAAATCTTTTGTGTTCATTTCCTTCACACTATGTTTAATGTTTGTGGTAATAATACAAGTGATCTTTCTTTCTTTGCTGTCATGCACCTGACGTGATCTGTCGTTACTGAAACACGTCAGACACGTGTCCGAGTCATGAGGGGATTCAACTGACTTCAGGTACAACACACGTTTGGTTTCATGTAGAAATGTGAAGATTTTAAATTGCATCTTATTCTTCCTTTTAGTTTTTACTGTAAAATGACAAATGAATGAAATGATGAAATAATCAAATCTGCAGATTTCCATCAGGGTTTCTCCATTTTCATCAGAAACTTAAGCTATTGTTGTAAATCCAAATAAAAATACTTATGGAAATAAAGACTATAAAAAACACCTCTGTGTAAGATCCATGCAGGCAACATGTACGTGGACAGTTCCACAATTGGCCATAAGACAAAAACATGAGCGGCAGTGAAAACAGCCCCATATACAAGTGAGTGGCTGTCCACATACTTTTGTCCACGTGTTGTTTATCTCATCGATGACTCATCAATCCGAGCAACAGAACTCAACACAAACTTAACATCTTCATCTTCTGTGAGTTTAATCAGAGCTTGATGTGAAACATTAAAGTCTTTACATCAGGTTGAAGTGTGAGACGTCACTGAAGCAGTCGATGAGTGAAACTGAGTCACGTGTTAATCACAGTGTTTCTGAGAATCCTCTGATGTCATCACTGCTCTTCAGTAAAAACTAAAACCTTCTGTTCAACAAAACAAACTTTACAAACTAATTCATCTGAACCGAATCTGACGAGAGAATGAAACAGTGAGAAAAGTGAAATGAGTCTAATTGAATGAGACGTTCAAAGAAAGAACAAAGTGTG